ATTTGTTTAGAAAAAATAAAATAAATTGATTTATCAAAAAAAATTCGGTTCTTATTCGGTTCTAGGTCTAGAACCGAGAACCGAACCAAAATTTTTCGGTTCTCGGTTCTTCGGGTTTTTAAGTTAAGAAAACCCGTTCGGTTCGGTTCGGTTCAGTTCGGTTCGGACATTTTGCCCCGCCCTAAGTTTAAGAGAAATATAATTTGTAAAATGGTTGTCAAACATGGGCTAAACTTGTAATGTCTTATTTGTTTTATTTTATTTTAACAAAAATAAATAAATGAAGTTATAAAAGAGAATATTTTAGTAGCCTTTGCTTTCCGGGAATTTTCATAAAGCAGGGTGAGGATGGAGAGAAATGCATCTTTCCATTGCCATCCCTAATTTAATATAACTGTTTTGTAAATAATTATGTTTTATACATTGTTTACAAATACTTAAAAGTCATTTTATATTCACACGTGTCAAGAATTTTGTTGACTTTAAAGTGACTGGTCAAAATTTGTGCCCTATTTTTTGGTAAGGTTCTTCCTAATTCCGGGAGATTTTGGGAGTGTTTAGGAGTCAACTGTCCGTACAAATGGAGATGGGTGAGTTTTTCGACGTTATTTTGGCTGGAAAGTACTTCTTAACTGAATAATATTTGAATTTTCGAGAGTCTCGATCCTATTTTTCATTGTTTCCGAGGCGACCTTTTTGGAGAGTGAAAGTTTGAAAACTTTAATTTTTAATTATTTATTAGTCGTGCAAATGATCATATGTTTAGGCTTTTAGGAACTTTTTGTTTGTTTTATGGGTTGACATCCCGTTATCATTATTATGTTGTATATATCATTAGGTCCAATCCCAAGGTTGTTGATATTTGTGCTTTGTGACACTCGTCGAACAATTCGTTGTGTGCACACGTAAGTTTATTATGCTGAAGTATAGGTTGATTATGTTAGAATTCACACTAATATTCTCGTTCATATTTGAGGCTTAGTCCAAGACCTTTAGACTTTTTGGAGGTCGAGGCTTTTAATTGTTTTTAGCCCTGTGCTTTTTGTTACGCGTTGCTAAATGGAGTTTCAATGGTTAGTGCATCTTTCACTTCAACTATGCATAATAGACAATCAATTTGTGAATATTCAAAGACACGTTGACATACAATGGGTTCTTTCTGGTTGACGTGAAGTCGTGATGATCACTAATTATTTTAGCACGTAACAAGATTCAAAATACTATTCACTTATTCGCCATTAAACTATTTATTTATAATTTTAATTATTTATAAAAAGTTTCCAAACATGCTCTTGAATCAAGGAGAGCACAGTTCTTCGAAATCACTTTTACATATAATTAAAAAAACATTTAGGTCAACTCAAGTTAGTGGTGGCAACGAGCTGAGCCGGGAAAAAAAAGCTCGGGCCGAGCCGAGCTGAGCCGGGCCTGGCCAAAAAAAATGAGGCTCGGCCCGAGCTTTTGACCCGAGCCTTAGCGGGCCGAGCCGGCTCGAATTTTTTGGGTTTTTATTTTTTTAGCTTGTTGAAACGTTTTTTCAAATAAAATTAAATTAAAATTTGAATTTTGCAAAAACATATAATAAATTTACTTAAATGGATTGTATATTTAGTTAGAAAATCCAAATTTTAATTAAATTGACAGTGCATTTCATTGCAAAATTCACTTAATTAAATGTGCTGTGTGTTTCGTTGCAAAATTCAAATTTTATTTTATTTTAATTATAACAGTGAAACACACAACAAATTTGAAGTTTCGAATGATAAAAATTGCTTAAAATTCTTTAAAATTATTTTAAAATTAAATTTAATTATTGTGTAATTGAGTAATCATTTCTTGTACGGTCGACAACTGAGCTCGTTTGTCCACTTTATTACTTTTAAGTGATTCGTGCCTTTGCGATACACGTTTTTTCACGAACAATAAGTGGACGTCATTTTTTATAAATTTAGTGGCCAAAATTCGACTACCTCAAACTCTAGTGAGCAGTCTAAGACGTTTTTCAAAGTTTAGCGAGAAATCGAAAACGTTTTTCAAAACTTAGTGAGCAATCGAAAACGCGATAATTTGTTACCAGCATTACGTGGCGTCAAATGTGTATTCCGTTAGTCACATTACTAATTTTGTTAACGATTTGAAAATGATGTTATGTCAGTGAATAACGTTCAACGTTTGAATATATTTAAAGGCCAAAACTTGATATCTTAAATTTCAGTGAGCAATCGAAAATATAGACATAAGTTTAATAACCATTGTGACAATTAACTTCAAATCTCTTTTAATTTTAGCAAACATGCTTAGCACGTGTTTGAACACCATTTTAATTAGATTTTGGAAAAATATATTTTGGAATAGTAATTCTTTTTTTGAAGAACCTGGAATTAAAAAAAAAGGTTTGAATTTTCTTGTAATATTATTTTATCCATGTGTGGCTGATAAAAAGCTGAAGAAATATGAATTATAATTTTGGAGGCCATATATGGGCTTAATTTAGTGAGTTAAATATTTCAATAGTCACTGAACTTTCATACATGTACGGTTTACTCACCCACCTTTAAAACTTATCCCACTGGCCACTCAACTTTAAACCGTCCCACTCCGTTGGCCATTGGATCAAAATCGTTAATAACGTTGTGCACGTGGTTGACGGTCTGATGACGTGGTACATTAAATTGCTAATTAGATGACACGTCAATGTCATGTGTGCAAGTGAGTTACTCACCGAACTTTACTCTATGTCACGGATTAATCATCGAACTTTGTTCCATATCACGGATTACTCACCGAACTTTGTTCTATGTCATGGTTTATCCACCGAACTTCCAAAATTATCTCGTTGGCCACTAAACTTCACTCCGTCCAACTCCATCACTCACCCAAATTAAAAAGGTGTTTGGTGGGGATTAAAATTGAATTTTTTGGTAGATTGTGATAGAAGTTTTTGAAATATGCGGTTAAAATCAAAACTGAAAATTAAAAAAGAAAACTGAAAACTGAAATTTAAATTTAAATTGTTAATTTGAAAGATTTTTAAACTTATTATTAGGTAATTGATATTCTTGATTTGGGGCTTAGGGTTTTGAATATCCTTGGAAGTAGATTTGATGATTTTCTTATTTCACATTTCTCTGGTTTGTTCAACGAAATGGTTAGAGACGCATGTTGTTCTATTTAATCAAAGAAAGATTTAATTATATTATGAAAGGTGTGTTTGGCAGTGATGATTTGGAGCTGACTTGACAATTAAATTCATATTTGGAAGTATTTAAATGGCCAACTCAGCTTTTGTCATCCGATAGGCTTGTTCCGTTTTCTTTTTTAATTTTCGGTTTTTATTTTTATTTTTCATATTTATTACAAAATTTAATTTCATTATTATATTTGTAACTTATATTTAGGGCATATTTGGTATAGATTTTAATATAAGTCAAAGTCAAACAATCAATATCAATAACATCTTTTATGAATCCCGCAACTTTTCAACCACATATTTCAAAAATTTCTATCTTAATCTACCAAAAAATTCAATTTTAATCCCCACCAAATACCTTCTTAATTTGGGTGAGTGATGGAGTTGGACGAGTGAAGTTTGGTGGCCAAGGAGACAATTTTGAAAGTTCGATGAGTAATCCGTGATATGGAGCAAAGTTCGATGAGTAACGCATTTGCGCACATGGCGTTGACGTGGCATCTAATTAGCAATTTAATGTACCACGTCATCATACCGTCAGTCACGTGGACATCGTTATTAACGGTTTTGATCCAGTGACAAACGGAGTGGGACTGTTTAAAATTGAGTGGTCAGTGGGATAAGTTTTAAAGGTGAATGAGTAAATCGTGACATCTATGAAAGTTTAGTCAAGAATTAAACATTTAACTCTAATTGAGTGGTTCGACTGTAAACAGAGTACTAGGAAGCTAAGTTCAGAAACAAAACACAAAAACTTCCGCCGCCGATACTCCTCTCTAGCCATAAATAATGGCCGCCGCTTCAGCCGCCGCCGTTTCAGAACCCTACTCTTTCAAACTCGCCTCTCACCGGCCCAATTCCCCATCTCTCACGGCCTTCTCCTCCCTCAAACTCCCTTGCACTGCTAATTCTCCGAACTACCACTTCAAATCCTTGAAATCGCAAGTCACTCCTCAATCTCACCACCGCATCGTCACCCCTCTCCGTTCCACTACAACTACCCCTGCTGACGTTTCCACCGTCACTACATTCCACGGCCTCTGTTACGTCGTGGGCGACAACATCGACACTGACCAAATCATCCCCGCCGAGTACCTTACTCTCGTCCCGTCCAATCCCGATGAGTATGAGAAGCTTGGTTCTTATGCTCTCATTGGTCTTCCATCTTCGTATGAAACCCGCTTCATTGATCCGGGTGAAACCAAATCCAAATACTCCATTGTAATTGGTGGAGACAATTTCGGCTGTGGCTCCTCCCGTGAGCACGCCCCTGTAGCCCTAGGCGCCTCTGGGGTGGTTGCTGTTGTGGCTGAGTCGTATGCTCGGATTTTCTTTAGGAATTCCGTGGCCACTGGGGAAGTTTATCCACTAGAGTCAGAGGGAAGGCTGTGCGAGGAGTGTAAGACTGGGGACGTTGTAACCATTGAGCTCGGAGAAAGTAAATTGATTAATCATACCAGTGGCAAGGAGTATAAGTTGAAGCCAATTGGGGATGCCGGGCCTGTGATTGAAGCTGGTGGGATTTTCGCCTACGCAAGAAAGACCGGGATGATTCCTTCACGCTAAAAATCATGGCTAGATTTTCCAGGGTAAATACCTTTGAGCTATTTGTTTGTGATTAGCATATTTGGTAGAAACCTATGTGTTGCCGATCAGTCATGCTCTATTTTTTCTCCATGAGCGCTGGTTGCTATGTGCTTATTTGATCATTTGATGCTAGAAGATTTGTGTTTACCCCTTTTGTGCACATTGGTTGGGGCGTATTCAAAATTAGAAGCTTTTAAGAATTAACTTTATATGCTTTCTTTAAAAATTAAAGGAAAACAAGAAACATAAAAAGCACATAATTTCAGTTGTGGAGTATAAGGAATTTGCATCTTGTCCATGCTATGTTTTATTTCGACTGATCTTCTGCTTGTCTGAATTGTTGACATTGAAGTATTGCTTCTCTACTTCAATAGATACTAACATGCCCTTAAGAATATGGAAAAGTTTGTTTCACTACAAGTTTGCTTCTCTACTTAATCTGAAGTTAATATGCGGTTATATTTGTCATATTGAAAAGCCTGGTTCTCTTCTAGTAGCTAATGGGAAGTGAATTACTCCCCAAAGATGCCCGTACTTTGATTAATACAAGACTCACATATTGCTTCTTTTATTTTAACTGATACTGACATGACATTGTAATAATAATATGGCATCTGATTTATTTTTGTTGAATATTTGGGGTAGTAGTTAGTAACGTACTGCAAGCAACAGAAATCAAAACATATTCTCATTAAACAATCAGGACGAAAGAACGAAAAGAGTTAAAGAAATGGTGTCAATTTGCGTGGATGGGATATTTATTTGGATGGGAATAAGTGGATGATGGGTGAAAAGTCACATATCCGTTTAGACCCAATCACTAATTGTGCTGTGTGTATCAATGGATTGGTCACAGATACATTTGGTCAATCCACAACCTGCGTCTGACCTAACTATAGTATACCTTGTGATCGTTTCTTGAGTCTAATATAAATCCTTATTTGAAAAAGCGACAGTTCTTCTTGTACGTTGTAGAACTCTGGTATTGCAAATGACTTAAAGGGTCAAGGCTTATAATAATTTAAATATTACCCATCCTAGAATCAAATTATTGGAGTGTGGATTTCATGATTTGAGTTGCCTTAGATTCTAGTTGCTTCATACATCATCATAATTATTTTAATCTAAAACATAGAGTACATTAAGAAGTTGAATTGCAAAGTGAAACACAATTTAAAAAATTTAGAGCATGTTTGATCCCCATTAATTTCAAAATACATTTTTCTCTGTCTTATTTTCAACAACACATTCTTTAATAAAATACTATTACACGCAAAACCAAAATTTTTCCTTATTTTTTAACCATACATTCTTCATCAAATCACTATTCCAAAATGCATTTTGGTAAAAGAATGGGGCTAAAATAGGTTCTTAGTGTGAATCCACATATAATGCTTGGAATTAAGATAGTAATATTCGTAATTTTCCATAAAAGTTAATTTCAAAAATGATAGCTGGTCCACATGCTCAACCAAATATAAGTCAGAATGAATATCATCCCAAATCTAGTTTTTTTTTTTAATTACCGAAAGTAAAATCCTAAGATAAAATTGGAAGAACTTGGGTCCTATTGATATCAATTTTTTAGCTAGTTCAAATAGTCTTATTACATTTGTGTTTCTACGATTCTATTGCCGCTAGATTTTTTATTATTTTGTTGTAGTAATCGCCATTACCAAAATGCAAACTACTCCTTTGTTATGCTTGAATGGAAAAATCTAACATAATTTTGATTTTTCCTGTAATTTTATCTCAAACACATGGGTATTGCCATGTATTAGCTGCTAATTTACGCTTCAGCTTTTCCTTCACAGCCTGAAGCAGGGGGCAATCATTTGTTTTTTGGGTGTTTAACATTTTATCAATATGATCACCAATTTATCACATAACAACCTATCATTCAATGGTTCAACTCAAAGCAAAATTGTGACAAAAGTTTTGCAGCCACACCTATTGCAGTTTGTTTGGTTATTGCCAAATAATAGAAGCTTAAGGACAGCTTTTTTTTTTTTTTTTTTCCAACCAAAATTACATGCTATATTTTGTGAATAGTTTTGAACACTTTAATTGGTTATCCACTATTAGTATATACAATTTTATTTATTTTTATTTATATGGGAAACTTTCTTCTATGTGACTTGATAGATGTCCATGTTTATATTTCAGCAGAAACTGAGATTTTTGCCCCTGAAACAATGACTTTATGATTACTCCATTTAAAGTTTCAATGTTGAAACCCAAAGATGGAAAAGAGAATATGTTTTGATTTGAACTCTTAAGGTCCCACATTTTTCGTCTGAAACAGGAGAAATTATTGGTGGTTTTGGTTAAAACCAATCTGTTTGACAATAATAGCTTTATATTGTTGTCAGAAATTATGCCTATAAGTCGTCATATTCGTTTAACGTTTTCCTGCAGGTTTTTTTCTTGGTGGCTATGTTTGTAGACTGGTCAGGATCTCTATTCATCTTCCGGATGTACAAGGCAATAAACATCATGTGATGTTAGGAATAATGTATTTCTATGAATTATTGTATTCGGGTTTGTTTTATGTGGCTGATATTGAATATTTATGGTTCTGGCTGCATCTTGGATTCTTGGTGGATGTATGCTTGTGTGTGTTTTTTTTGATTGGAGGTCAGGTCTTACGCTCCCTTCAAAGTTTGTGTTTTTTGCTTTATTTCTATATTGGTATTAATAGAAGGGATGAAAATGACCTGCGGTTGGTTTGTAGATGCAGCACTGTGTTGCCTCTCATTCTTCCAGTTCAGTATTTCTTTGTTGTTTGTCCTCTGAATCCAACCCAACAGCACACCAAAAGCATAGGCACTTTCTGTTTCTCACAGAAACATGCGCCGCGAAAAGAAATTCAGCCAAAAATTTCACATTGTTTGTTTCTGCTGTTTAATGCAAAGGAGTAATCTGTTCCCTTCCCCAAACAGGAATCAGTGTAGGATCATGTTTTACAAGCCCTTTTGCAGTCTCAACACGATTGTTGTGCTAAGCTAGGTGCAAGGGACTAAAACTATCCAGGTTTAGGCGTTTAGCTTTTTGCTAAACGAAGTCTTTAAGCTCATGGTTTTGATTGCAAAGTGCGTGTCCAGCAGAGGCAGTTATATGTAAAGGTGTATCTACAAATGGTACATTTCAATGACTTCTAGGTTCAGGTTCTGTCCAGGGATTGAGTACAAACCATGGACACCTCCTGGTTGTGCAACTTCCTCCTGCAGTGGATCCTTCCATTATAGAGATAGTTCGAACAATTTAGGGGCCTTATCTAGGCTTAGGGCCTGTTTGGCTCTGTGGAAGGATTTTTGGAGGAGGATATCTTAATTTTTGTATGGAAACTAATTTTTAAAACACTTTCTATTCCAAAAATGCTTTTAAAAGAATCTACATTGGACCATTTTTTTCTAAAAAATCTTCTAGTTAGAAGTATTTTCATAAATTTAACCAAAGCAGTTCAAAATCAGTTTTTGGATTTCAAAAGCTCCTTTTTAACTTTTCAAAAATTCCTAGACAACTACTTCACTTGAGCCACCTCTTATTATGCTTAGAAGATTCAGCTCCTGAATGTTTTGTTTCTGGAAAGTTAAGATACTGAAGACTATATTTCACTGAACATTACGACCAGTCTAGTTTGTTTCTGCCTTCAAATGATATAAATTAAAGTCAACAAGGGAGTAATGATTACTAAGTTAATTAATTTTCCATTACTAGCTGTCGACGCATCTATTTAACAACATTTTCTTAACCTTGTAGATTATTTCTTATGAAAATTGTTTACTATAGATTCAGCTAATCATTATCCAATTTTCAGCTGAAATTGGTTTTTTTTCCTGATAATGACGTCACTGTATAATCATTGGACAAAAAAGGACAAAAATTATTGCCTTTCATTTTCAATCATATGGTGCCAAAGGATAAAATTAGCCAAACGTGAAAGCTTCACGGATTGATCTGAACCACTGCCAAAAATTAGCCAAACAATCTCACTGTATCTCTGTGTATATCAAGAAAATTTGAAAGAAATCTACCCAATAACTTCAAATATTATTCAAGAAATGGAGCAGATGCGTATGTAGAGGTTAATGGAGGCTGCCCGAAATGGTAATATCGACGATTTATATGAATTTCTACAGTTGGATCCATACCTTTTGAATCCATCGAATTGGGTAGAGTTTGTTGATACCCCTATACAAATTGCTGCATCAAGAGGCTTAACCAACTTTGCCATAGAAATCATGAGCTTAAAGCCCTCATTAGCCAGGAAGCTGAATTCAGAGGGATTTAGTGCACTCGACTTGGCCTTGCACAATGGATATGCTAACATGGTAAGAAGACATGTACAGGGATGGATACTCATTCAAGGGAAGGAAGGATTACTCCATTGCATTATGTAGTAGAAACAGATGACATTAATATGTTGGCCTAGTTTCTGCTGGCTTGCCCTGAATCTATCAATGACCTGACTATTCGAGATGAGAATGCTGTGCGAAATAAAAGGTATAGAGCTTTTTAAGTGTTGGTAGGATGACTTCTACTATTGGGCAATCTAGACATACTGGATTCGGTGGATGAATAAGGCATCATCTAGAAATCGGCCTAAGGAATGCTCTTTCTTCTTCCGAAAGCAATTAAGGTCAGTAATAAACATGTGCCACATTTACATACTTCACTTTTATAAGACTAAATCAATGATAAAATTTGTCTCGCTATAAACAGACTAAGCTTTTAGGTAAGACAGTTCAACATGCATAATACAGTCTAGAGGGTCGCGCTATGGTGGATTCAACAGTAATGACAGATCAAGAAAGAAAAGGAAGTTAAAATTTTGTTGATTATCAGCACAATCTAAGACCATGTATCAAACATGCACTAATTTGTTTCGGAAGTTGTATAGTCTGCTGTTTACACAAAGTTGAGCATTAAGAGTTTGGGAGATCAGCATAATCTTCTTTAGTATGTCAATCAGCAGGTTGTTAAGAAATTGATCCGTAAGGTTGCCTAAGAAACATTCATCAAGAAAAATTTCGATGTCTTCACCCCCTGTGACATTGTAACAAGACTACCAGAAGACGGAAGTAGAGAAATCAAGAAACTTTTTGACAGTATTGGAGCAACTGGATTCACATCACATGTCCAGGCTATTACTTTACAAGAGTTTCTAAATTCAACATCTAGTCAAGATTCATGTGTTTCTCTAGAAGGTTCAACAGGACTGAAATTTCATAACATTGTCTGCTGGTATTGAAAAGTATAAGCAAGCACGCAGCTTGGATAAGTGAAGCCTCAGCTGACATTATTCACGCATTACCTCCTCAATGGTTACCACTCTGCCCTTCTCAATCGAGAGCTGTGCTGCAACTCCAATTGCTACAGAAACCAATCCGTCGTGCAAATCTACAGCAGGAGCTTGTGTCCCCTTTGCTCTTATCGTAGACAAAAACTGAAGATGTTCTAAATAGCTAGAACCGTGATGTAGTCCCTCGTATCTGATAAGCACAAGGTGCAAGATACATTCATAGGTTAGCAAGATATTAGACGGGATTAGACCAAAACGTGTCGTGTGGTTAAAGTACAAAAGTAAGAAGCACTTACTTTATTCGATCATCCTCAGCTTTTAAAGTTGTAACACCATCCCTTCCTTCGATTCGAATACCCCAACGAACAATACTCTCAGGAACAAATGCCTCACCCTGTGAGCAATAATTATAAGTAAATGTTTTGAGGCGAAATAGAGCAAAAGAGCATTTCCAGCACCAATTTGCTAGCGTGGCAATGATTAAAGCTGCCGCTGCCACAGCTTGTGGCCCAATGCAAATATTGTCACACAAACATAAGCATCAAGTGCATGTTTGGTATGCGCTGTTAGATAGGACAAAGCAGTGCAACAAACAAGATTTTAATTCTTGTTTTATTTAAACTTGTCTTGGACTGTTCAATCTCGAATAACAAACGTGCCATATGCAAGTTTGATATGCAGTATTGAATAGGACTCAACACTACGACAAACAAGATTTTAAGTTTCTTTCTTTCTTTCCTTTTAGGTCGAACAATACCAAGCATACCACAACTGAGTGGTTCAGCCAAGAAGCGAGGTGTTAACACGGAGGAAAATTTTACCTTCCCAAAGTCACCAACAACAGATATTTCTTGTTCATTTTTACTCCCTTCAGCAAACATACAGAGGTCAAGGATGCCCCGGGAACCATTTTTGAATTCCACTATTACATAAGCATTATCAATTATATCAGGCACCTGCAAAACAGGAGTATTAAGATTCGAAAACAAGATAACAGGAAAAGAATCTTCTTATATGCTAGCCTGGAAACAAAAGCCATATGGAAGAACGAAGGTTATTAAGTATCATCCCTCCTTAGAATTCCCAGCTACATAATTGGTTCATTCAGAATGATATAGATTTATCAGATGCAGTACTCATGAATTAAATAGGATAGTAAAAGTACGACATCCATATGTGATTAATGATTATGTATACTCAAACTGCAATGATTTTATCTTTAGCGATCTTTATATTCAATTCAATATGGACCAGACATATCCCTGGATATGATTGCACAATAAATTACAGTATCAGCAATAGGGGGAAAAGAGACAACAAAATAACGAAAACACCTAAATCAGAGCCTATATGGATGCCCTATTACATGTCTTGCCAGTGGTCTAAACTCAAGCTAGTTTATTTCTTTAGAGACAGTTCAAGAAGCCATCCGCATTTCCTGCTCAATTGTCCACGCGGTAATGTTTGACTTTTGATATAAAAATGCAACTGGGGGTAGAAATATACAAGTTGAACAGGCTGAGATAATTTGAGGATAAGCAAGAAAATAATTGGCTGAATCAACCATATGTCTTCTCTAAAAGTGAATGAATGGCCTTCAAATTCATCAGATTGACAGGTATATAATAGATTTTTATTTTTTCCCTCTTTTACGCAAAATGCTACACCAAATTTATCCTTCAAGAAATGCTAGAATGCATATATCAGAAAGTAAATGATTTCCAAGAGAAAGAAAGTTTACCTTCCCATCATAAGTTTCATCTTTATGATTCACATCAATGGCTCCAGAAGCCATTACGCGGACAGGATTTGTACCTGCAAACAGCCTCATGAGATCAAAGAAGTGGCAGCATTTCTCTACCAGGGTACCCCCAGTGTTACAGTTGAACCGGTTCCAATTGTTGACCTATAAAAAACTTACAATTCAGAACAACATTCACTGTACAGACTGCTGGGAATTGTGGTTTTAGCTACCTTAACTAGAAATGGGAACCGATGTTCCCGGATAGCCACCATCTTGATTCGTCCTAAATATCCACCCTTCACTATATCTATCAGTTTAGCAACAGGTGGCATATATCTATACTCTAGCCCAACTTGTAATAGTATATCTGGCCTCCTTTTAGCAGCTTCTACGACCTGTAATCAAAATTCGAGGTTGCCCCACAATCAGGTACTAAAACTTACAAGCATAAGCATAAGAACCTATGTTATGTAACAGTAAGTAGTTAAAGTTAAAACTATTACATGATAAGTATTGGCATATTTACCATACATTAAGCCCCTGCTTGGTGGCCATTTTTGGAAAACATTGTTTTGAATAGTGAATTTTTGGAGAATGTGTGGTTAAAAAGTAAGGAAAAATTTGGGTTTACATGTAGAATATTTTATTGTGTGAATATGAAATCGAAAATGAGTACGTAGAAAAAAGAGTTGGGCCAAGTAAGATACTAAGATCTGTACATCCATTGAGCGTGCATTTGCTTGCGATACTATAGATTGACAGGAAATTGTAGAACACAAATGACCATTATAAGGAATTTTCATAAGGTTGTGTTTTTTTTATAATAATCGAACTCGACGCCTTCTATATTTGGGAAGAAATACTCAGAACAATCATATTATTATTTCTAGATAATTAATCAACCTTTTCACTTACAATCTATCACTGAATAAGCAGAATGAAAGAGCTATTAATGATTTTAAAAAACAATTGTTGCAGACTTCTTAACTGATTAAGCAATATTTCTTCTGATCAAGATCTTTCGATTCATAGTTTTTTCCATTTCAAGAAAAGACAGTATTTTGTACAAAATGCCAACCTTTCTGCAATCTGCAACTGTTGTACACAGAGGTTTTTCCACCAAAACATGATGAGACTTTGGGTGGCAGATGATATCCATTAAAATTTCGAAGTGAGTCATGTTTGGACTCGAAACAACCAATACATCACAAAGCCCACTATCCAGCATCTCCTTATGCCCTGAAAAAACCTTCAAAAATTTTCCAAACATGTAAATATTTCTTCAAACATGCTACACGTACGTTAACTTTTACATAAAGTTTGACATCCTTTGACATGTCATCCATCATAGTCATTAATGTTTACAACATCATTTCGAATCACTACCAGATTTTGGCACATAAGAAAGAATGTCATCCTCAATGTCAACAAAAATGTACATCTAGAATTATTCATATTTCTACACCATAAATTGAACTAATTTAAGCTCTCATATTGTTTTTTTGTACCTTAAGAGGCCAATTGAATGATAGTGCAAGATTCTTGGCTTGTTCTTGGGAAGGCAAATGGGGATCAGCTACGGCGACCACAGCTACACCTTCATTCCTCATATGATACAGATTGATGACATGCTCTCTTCCCATCATCCCAACACCGATTATTCCATACTTGACAATATCAGCCATTAGATTGATCAGAGTAGAGAAGAGAAGAGCTTTAACCGTATAGCCAGCGATGATGACGATGATGAAGCAAAGTTGGAAATTCAATTAAAAAAACCATCAGATTAAAATGGCATCTTTTGGATTATGAATATTCTACTATCCATAATGCAACCTGTCTCTTATTTTCAGTATTCTAATTTCTGCAATGTATCTAGACAGGTTTTGCGCATTTGTGAAGACAGAAGAAGACAAGCGAGAGATGAAATATGAAGTATATCTACATGCATCATATTTGTCAATTCAACCCGATTGAGTCGAGGGCCCCACTTCTTTCCCATGATGTTGCATCCTTTCCCAAAAAACTATTTTTCTACTAAACCCATTTTTGAATACACATTCTTCTAATAAAATATTTTGCACGTAAACATAAAATATATTTTTTAAATTTTTAATCACACATCCTTAAAAAAAAAAAAACACTTTCCAATGATCATCAAGCGGAGGCTAAGCAATGAAGTTAATTGATTTTGTCTTTTTTTTTTTTTCTTTTTTTTGAATGGGGAGATGAAAATTGGTATTTTAACACTTTTTTAATTTTTTTATAAACAAATTATTTTTTGAATAATACTACTTATACATAAAGAGTTACATAAAGTTTTACGGATCGATGGGGTGTCCAAAAAAGGGGAAGTCTTATTTTTTTATTAGGTTGAAGAGATTTTGATCCAATCATATTTATGACATTATGTGTTCGTAAATTAATCGGCAAGTGGTGAAGTACATGTAACGCAACCGTTACTTTTTTCTACCTAATCAGAAGAACTCAGCGAAATTTGGCAGAAACGGTTCCAACCTTTGCCCATATTTTGTTTTTTTAATCCAAACCTTTACATCTTGATGCAAATGGTCCTAATCTTTTACATTCTTGACACAATTGACCATTTTGAATGGATTTATAGAGTTGCTTTTATTTTTAGAGCCAATTTTTATCAAATCAAATCAAAATAGAATAAACTAAATTAAAAAGATAAAAACTCCATCTACTCTCACAAGCTAGCCCCTCCACCCAAATCCATTATCGACTCATTCACCCTATAACTATTGGATTTATCCTGTCGAAAACCAACTACAGTGACCTAATCGTCGTCCCAACCTTCACTACCACTACCATCACCTAGAGTATAGTTGCATTTGTAATTGCTATTTTAATTGGGTTTTGTTTGAAGTTCTAGACGCCAAATCACTAAATTCTGAAATTTCGAATTATATGGAAATTATAGAATTGAATTTACTTAATTTGGGTGAATCAGAAAAATAAGAAGAACTAATCAACATTGGAGGGGTGAAATCCAATATCTCCTTTGAGAAGAAGTGCATCCCATGCACAAAACTAACGGTTCTTATAGTCTAAATCTATCGAAAAGGATCAATAACGCCAATAATGAAAATGTTTGGAACCTCTGCGACAAGATTTGAATGTTCAGACCAAAAAAGGCAAGATGAGCAAAGTTCTAGGATCACTTGAGCCAATTTCCCAATATTTTATAGATGAAAGCTAAATAATCAAAATTATACTAATGAGACTATAGTGACGTGGACAAACTTAGGAAAATTTGCACAATTGGTACCAACATATTGTTTCAATAGCAAATTGGTCCTCAACCTTTTGTAAGGGAGCAAGTCGATCATAAATCCATTACTATAGTTACACAATAAATCCTCCATAACGGAAACCATCCTAGTTTTCATTAAATGATCATGTAATCCTTGTGAAAACTTATCTCCCATTAAACTTTTTGGAAATCAGCTCACGTTGAAAAGTAACACTTAACCTCAAAAGTTAGATGTATATAAAAAAAAAATGAAAAAAGAAATAAAAAGGTAATGCTTTAATGGTGATATGGATAGTTTCAGGTCAAATATTATACTTGTCACCTAACCTTCTTAAAGGTTTTCATAATATCATTGAACTTTAAAATCGTTTAGGTTGCTACGATTTCCCAAATCTTTGCTATTAAACTTTCGAAAAAAAATGGATTATCTCTTAACCTACTAATATAAGATAATATCAATAATTATCTGCGTACGCGGGTGATTATCCACTGTAAAGTACCACGTCAGAGGCTGTCGACCACCATGAGGGTGCTCTACGTTCTAATGATAGACCGCCTACCACCACGAGGTACTCTACGTTCTCATGATAGACCATCTACCACCACGGGGTGCTCTACGTTCTAATGATAGACTGCCTACCACCAAGGGGTACTCTACGTTCCAATGATAGACCGCCTACCACCAAGGACTCAAAAGTTAGATGTATATAAAAAGAAAAAAGAAAAAAAAATGTGATGCTTTAATGGTGATATGGATAGTTTCAGGTTAAATATTATACTTGTCACCTAACCTTCTTAAAGGTTTTCATAATATCATTGAACCTTAAAATCGTTTAGGTTGCTACGATTTCCCAAATCTTTGCTATTAAACTTTAGAAAAAAATGGATTGTCTCTTAACCTACTAAAATATCATCTCATCCGTCAGTCAATCACTCATGTTTTAAAAATTAGCGTACTTGATGAACGTACCAAAATATTATCTCATAACCCTTTTTTTTTGGTGCCACGGCATCAAGTCATTATAAATCTATACAAATTAAAGTATAATTACCTAATTGATATTAAGAGTGAAAGTATAGTTACTCCTAAAAAATAAAACTACAAATTGTCGCATAAATTCTCAACAATAGTAAATAAATAATTATTTATTGTTTTTTGGGAGCAAAGTATTAGTAGCGACTAATACCGAGTTAATTACTTGAATGGTTACTAAATTTTGCCAAATGTTACTACTTAATAACTGAACTTAAAATATATATTTTAATGGTTACTGAACTTCACCACTTCACCAAGTGTTATTACTTCATAACGGAACTTCAAAATATATTCAAATAATCACTGAATCATGCACAGTGTTATCCATTCATCACTCAAATGGAAAAATTTGTTAGGTTCTACAAATGAAGCCGACTTGAGTAATACAATGCATAGTTCGATAACTATTGAGATATATTTTTAAGTTCAGTTATAAAGTAGTAATAATTTCTTTTTTCCTCATATCGAACTCTGTGAAAGAAGAAACTTTAAAAAATAATAATAATTAAAGGAAAAAAGGTGTAAAATCAAATCGACCTCGGTTACTTTGATACTAATTCAAACATTTTTGTAGTTTTAGGTAATTTATTCTGTCAATTTCTTTCAGTGTTCCTATTATTTCTCCTTCAATCTTTTTATGCACAGTTTGAGATATGGTAAATTGATACAAGTTAATCTAGAAATCAAATGTACTTTTGGACAGTTGCCGATGGAAGAGATATGCTAGTCGATGATTTAATGACTCCACAAATCAATCAGAGCCAAATTAACATCTTATATCTTCCATTTAGACAACAAAACTTTTAGTTGAAGACTAATGTCTTTCATTTATTTCAGAATGGACATCTGCAAAAGTTTTATTTTTGTTTGATTTATAGGTTTTTAATTTTCTGTTTCCTATTTTTTTCTTTCATTCTCTTTGATTTTTTCTCTTATAAAGGTCTATTTAATGGACTTAATAATAGATTAACCCTGCTATTGGGCTAGGCTCAAAGCCAGGCCCAATTGGACCGCCCCCCCCCCCCCCCCCCCCCCC